ATATAAGTATCTAAATATCCCCATTAAAAGGCCAGAGATCATCAGATTGGATAAGAAAGTAAGACCCAACTGTATGTTGCTTACAAGAAATGAACTTTAAATTTTAAAACAAAAGATATAACATGTTCATACCGATCAAAAGGAAACTGAAGTGGCTATATTAATATTAGGCAAGGTGGATTTCTGAGGAAAGACTATCACTAGAGCTAAAGAAGGTCATTTTGATAATGGGATCAGCTCATCAGAAGGAAATAATAATCCTAAACATTTATGCACGTGTTGACAGAGATTCAAAATGCACAAAGAAAAACTGGTAGAACTGTAAGGTGGAATAGATGAATCCACAGTTAGAGATTTCTGTACCCTTCTCTCTATAATTTATATAATAAGTAGACAGAAAATTGGTAAGGATATAGAAGATTTGAACAGAACTATCAACCAACTTGACCTAATTGGCATTTATAGAATGCTCCACCCAACAACAGAATACACATTATTTTTAGGTGTACGTGGAACATTTACCAAGATAGATCATATTCTAAGTTGTAAAACAAGTCTCAATAAATTTAGAAGAATTCAAGTCTTACAAAGTATGTTCTTTGACTACAGAGAAATTAAATTAGAAATCAAGAACAGAAAGATCTCTGGAAAAGCCTCAAACATTTGGGAGCTAAAACATGCTTCTAAGTAATCTATGGATCAAAGAAGAAATCAAAAGGGAAATAAATTATTTTGAACTGAATAAAAATGAAAACACAACATATCAGAATTAGTGGGGTGCTACTAAAGCTGTATTTAGGGGGAAACTTACAGCACTAAAATACCTATTTTAGAAAGAAGAAAAGTTTCAAATCAATGATCTCAGCTAAGCCTCCTTAAACTACAAAAAGAAGAGCACATGAAACCAAAGTAGAAGAATGGAAATAGTAAATAAACATCGTTGCAGAAATCGATGAAATAGAAACACAATAGAGAAAACCAGTGAAACCAGAAGCTGGTTTTTTGAGATGGATAAAATGAATAAACCTTTAGTCAGACTGATCATAAAAAAATGTGCTGTTAGAATTAACATTCCAGTGTCAGAAAATTATTATACATTTCATTTTTATAAAGTTTTACGTTTTTAGATTATAAGTTGTTCAAAAGCACCAATTACTTTGTCTTAATTTGGGAATGTTTTGTTCTGTTTGAAAGACCTCTAATCCTTGAGAGAAAGATTCTGGCAAATGTTAGAGTTATGGCACAATTTTGTGGCTTAATACATTTAAGTTTGCCATGGTGGTGTGTGACATGTGTAGTTGAGTGTTGTGAAAAAGTATAAGTACATATCTGGTAACCAATGCATGTTGCTTTAGGATTAATTTTTGATGCATAATTTTAATTTTCTGATAACATGCTATTCTGTTGTTTTATCTGTGGTGAAAATGGAATAATGAATTATGATTTTGCAGATCAGCATATAGTCACTGGACATTTTGGGCTTGCACTGATGCTTTTGGCACATGTTTGGGAGATTTACCAGCTTGCAGCCACTTTCCAGATCATTTTTGATTGTCAGTTTATGAACTCCAAAAATGGTTTTCTGTCGTTTTAAATCTAAAGTGATATACACACCTCCAACTGTCTGCGTTGTTGATTACCTGTCAATTGGTGTACCTACATGTACAATTTTTTTCCCCTTCCTTATTGTAACTAAGTTTCAAGAAATAGCCAAAACTCCTGTCGGTTCTAAGACCTCAAATTGTTGTTTGTGGATTAGCTTCTGCTGGTTCTTAATTCATCTTGGTTTAAAATGGATTTTGGTCTCTGTTGAGGTTCATTAAAAAAAAATAATTATCCTCATTTAAAAATTTGAGAGGTAATTCACATAAGATTCACCCTTTTGAAATGTACAATTTGGTAGTTTTTAGTATATTCATAAAGTTGTGCAACCATTACCACTATCTAATTTCAGAATATTTTCATCACTTGCAAAAGGAGGAAACCCCTAATAAGGCTGATTTTTGAGATTCAGATGCCCGGAGTAAAATTTTTTGAACCATCACCAAATAATCCTTTAACCAACAGAGCTCTCTCTGAAAGCCAAATTGCCATTTCTACCTGCTTCATTTTCATTATATCCCAGTTTATAAAAAAGTATTTTCAGTTTTTGGCAGGTTATCATATTTTTATTTCTGTGGAAAAAGTAGACAAAACAACTCAATAATTAGAGAAATTGAAGGTCATAGTACCATCACAAATTCTAAATAGCACAATCAGTAATATATTTTATGTCAGTTCTACTTATTATGCTTAATTTTCAGCTAGTCAAATATTGGCTGTTTTATATTGTTTACCCTAATCGAATAGGGGAGTCGCTTTGACCTGGCTTTGAATCTTGACTCCTCTCCTTGCTAGCTATATTGTTTATCCACTCCAATATTTTGTTTGTTCATTTATATAATGGGACTAATAGTTCCTACCTGTTAGGGTTTGTGTGAAAATTAAAGGAAATAATGTATGTCAGCCTCTTAGTGAAATACCTAGCAACACAGTAAATACTCAAAGACAGTTACCTTTATTATTATCAGGTCATATATACATCCTTGTTGACAAGATAGAAAAATTTGGGCTATGTGTTATTTTGATTTGTATCTGGTTGTACCCAAAGAGAATTCATCAATAAATTTCTATCAGGAGGTCTCTAGTAATATTTCTTAGGACTTTGCTGTTGACCTTCCTGATCAACATTTTTATCCTTAGATAAAAACACAGAAGACATAATTATCAAATTCATAAATGTTGATTGACAGATTAGGATTTCAGTTAAATCTCAACATATGAGTCATAAGGAACCTGAGAGACGATCAGAAAAAATGGACTGTAGCCAGAAAAATAAAATTTGGTAGGGATAAATCTAAAGCCCTGCATTTAATTAGTAAAAAGCCCATTATGGGAAAGAATAGGATGGGAATTAAACATTTCTGCTAAAAGTTCAAATGAAAAATATAGGGATGAATAGGTGGAGCACAGGGTCAGTGAAACTGTTCTGTATGATACTGTAATGGTGGGTACATGTCATTTTACATTTGTCAAAATCCATAGAACGTACAACATAAAGCGTGAACCCTAACTTAAACAATGGACTTTAGTTAATAGTAATGTATCAATATTGGCTTATCAGTTATAATAAATGTATCACAGCAATGTTAATAATAGAGAACACTGTGTGAATGGGTGAGGGAGGTATATGAGGATGCTGTATTTTCTGCTCAGTTTTTCTGTAAAGCTAAAACTGCTAGAAAAAAATAAAGTTTGTTAATTAAAAAATATATAGAGAGATATATATCACATTGAAATAAGGCTGCTAAAAAAAAAACTAATGCAATTTTTGGCTAAAGAAGGTAATTCTGCTACTGTACTCCCTGAGTATTTCCAAAGGCAGCTAATATGATGAATGGTTTGGAAACCACGTCATGAGAAGCTGAGAGAACTGTGAATATGTCTTTGGGGAAGAGAAAACTTAGTGGAGGCAGCGTGGTTGCCTTCTGATATTTGAGAGGCCCTTCGTGAAACAAGAAACAGATTTATTGCAGATACTGTAAGCAAGGACAATTGGTGATTGTTATAGGCCAGATCATCAAGTTTCTACTCATAAAAAAGGAATAACCTTTTAACGGTAGATAAAGTGAGATGACTCACAGTAATGAGCTCCCTTCTAGTCATTGAAAGTATTCAAGCGGTGGCTGGGTACTTGAAAAACACTCTCATTGGGACATTGGTTTAATTTGATCGTCTCTCAGGTTCCTTATGACTCATAAGATTATATAATTCCTTGACCTTTGCCAATGAGTTCGGTTACTCCTGTGATTAACAGAGAAGGAACAGTATGTGAAAAAAATATAGCACTTGGTGTCACTGTCAAATAAGAGAATTAGGATGCTTACTGCACACACACACATACACACATATACACACACATTATATATATAATGCCTCAATACATGTGTGTGTAAGTGTGTTTATGTATATGTTTTTATATATAAATATGTATGTATATATGGATACATATATATAAATGCACACATTATAATTTAAGACTAATTTCTGCCATGTGTGCAGTTTTACTTTTGGTGAAAAATACTTATTTCAAAATGATTTTTACCATTTTTTTTAAAGAATCATTTACCATTTTTTTTAAAGAATCATTTGCCATTTTTTCCATTAACTTTTTATACCCAGTTTAGAAAGAGTGCTGACCTTTGCTTTGACTTCCTGACCACAGTGCTCTATCTTACTCACTGCTATCTTACTTGCTTCTTTGAAGAACAGGAAATTACCAGAATGATACTAATCATTCTAACCCAATACTGGGTTAACTGTTTTTTCATAGTTTTCATACTTATTGGATAATGCTATATTTATTCAAAAAATTTCTCTTTTATTGGTACCTTTTTTGTCACCTAAACGAAGGTTGATAAAGCAATTACATAGAAACAATTTAATGAATTTATTAGTTAATTTTTTGCTGAGGAAGATTTGCCCTGAGCTAAAATCTATTGCCAGTCTTCCTCTTTGCTTGAGGAAGACTTGCTCTGAGCTAACATCTGTGCTAGTCCTTTTCCATTTTGTATGTGGGTCACCTGCCACAGCATGGCCACCAACAAGTGGTGTGGGTCCGCACCCAGGAACTGAACTCGAGCCACTGAAGTGGAGCGCGCCAAACTTAACCCCTAGGCCATGGGGCCGGCCCCCAGAAATAATTTTTATTAGGGGGAAATTTCATACCCCAGAGTATAATTTCCTCAGTTTACTTTTAGTAAACAAACTTTTATTAAACACACATAACCTCTTGAGTTTTTTTACTTAAAATCGAGGATGGAAGGTGAATGGAAATATAAGGGGGATGAATTTGACATTTCTGTTCATCTGTTTAGCAATCTTCTTGTTTTATTTTTGTTTTTTAAATCTTTCCTTATTCATTTCTTCTTCTGGATTAATACTTATTTTCTTTTTGACAGGCAGTGATGGTTTCAGAAAATTTTAATATAGAAGCTCCCGACTATTTGTCCAAGGAATCTGAAGTTCTCATTTATGCCAGACAAGATTCACAGTGCATTGATTGTTTCCAAGCTTTTTTGCCTGTGCACTACCGCTATCATCGGCCACATAGCAAAGATGGAGAAACATTTATTGTGGTTAATAACCCTGATTTATTGATGTATTGTGACCAAGGTGAGGGTTGCAAGTCTTTTCTGAGGGTTGAAAATAAAAATGAAAGTATGGTGGCAAGTCTGAAGTCAAGGACAGGGATGACAAAAGCACGTTTCTTTTTTCTTTCTTTTTAACTTTTTCATTGTAAATTAAAGTACAGATATAGAAAAACTTCACAAATATATAGTTTAGTGAATTATTATGAGACCAATACCCTTGTAACCACCACCCAGGTCAAGATATAGAACTTTGCCAGCCACCCCAGCAGCAGCTCCATTTGTCCTGTCCCAATCACAGCCTTCTCCCTTCCTCTAAGACTAACCCACTATTCTGACTTTCAGTCACTTCCTTATGTTTCTTTATACTTTTATCACCCAAGTGGGCATTCTTAGACACTATAGCTTCGTCTTGCCCATTTAAAAAAAATTATTTCCATTAAATCTCTTAATTTACAGGTTTCCCCTCTATCCCTTTGTTTAAAATTTATCTGTTGAAGAAGCTGGGTCATTTGGCCTGTGAAGTTTATTGTAGTTGGGGTTTTGTGATTGTACTCATGCAGTTCATGTGACCTCTCTATTTCCTGGAAATTGGCAGCTCGTTCCAGAGGTGTGATCAGATGCAGGTTTGATTCTTTTGGCAAGACCATAGGTGGTGCTTTGTTCTTTTATGAGTAGGCATAGAATATCTGGTGTGTTTCTTTTTTCAGCCATTGATCCTCACTGCCCCTTTGCTGTTTCTCTTTCTTCATGCTGATATTTCAGGACTTGTAGCTGTTGGTGTTTTGTCTCTACTTGCATGTAGTTTGGTATTTGAGGGGATACTTTATCACCTAGTTTGGTTGTAAATGTTGTCCATGAGTTGTTGGTTTTGTGTGTAATTGTTTTTTTTTGTTTTTATGTGTGGATTTAAGTAAATTGAAAAGCTACGTTTTCGCCATTTTCAGTCATCCCAGAATCAAGACTTTTCTTTAAGAAGCCCCTTTCAAATTTTGGTTCTTTGTGCCTCTAAATTTGGGCTGATTAGAATGTTTATGAAAGTCAGTAACACTGTTACTAAAGTAGGAAGTTTGTAATCATACATTTGCTGCCATCATATATTTCATGGTGAGAAAATAAAAAAGTGTTCAACTATGTTAACTTTGTTCATTCAACCTCGTTTTCTGTTTCTAAATGGTACCTTTTACTTACCCTAAATAAAGTTGGGAAAAGTGCCCCCACTTGAGGGAGCATCTGGGGTTCTGGTATGTTTTGTTTTTTTGGTCTGAGTTCTCTCTGTATGGGTGGGTTTACTCTATGGAAATTTTTCGAGTCATATGCTTAAAATCTGTTCTCTTTTCTGAATATATATTTGAAAAAGAGTTTAAATTTTTAAAAAAGTGGCCCCTAGCATAATGGAATTTGTTAAGAAGTCATGCTCAACTTCTGCAGAGTCTTTGTACTTTTATAATTTCTTAAGCAGGCCATTTAAAACAGGCTGCTGAAATAAAACAGCATGTGATAGATGGATTCAAATCATATGCGTCATATATTAAAATGTTTAAATACTCATAGCCCAACATGAAAGACTGGCCTGGCCTCTAGTGCAGAAACAGGTTTTCTGATACGATGTTCTACCACTTTTTCTCAGAGTTTCCAATTTTGAAATGCTGGGCTCAGTCAAAAGTGGCAGCTCCTTGTGCTTTGAAGAATAAGGATATCTGCCAATGGAACAATATGAAATACAAATCAGTAAGTTATTATTTTATGTTTTTAGATCATGCTGCCTCTTTTTAAACTCTTTCTATAATGTTTCTGCTACGTTTAAGGGATTAGCATTTTATATTCGACCATAGAAAGCTGTTTTTTGTTTGTTTGTAATGGTGTTTCTTTGCTGCTGATGGCAACAGTGTTTCCTCGTTTCTATGAAGTCACACAATCATTTAATTGGAGGGCTGGAGATTTAGGGGTCGTCTCCTGCCTCAGTGGTCCAGAGCTTAAGTATGGCTCATATGCTTTTTAAAGGTATGGAATGGCAAAGAAAACAGTGGTGTGTTTATCTGTTTTTACTTGATCAGTAGAACTTTGCTTAGAACGTTTTACTAGTTTTTGAACAAAATAAATTAGTTGAACAACAAAATAAATTAGTTGACTTCATTATATTGTACAGAACAAGTGAACAAAAGGAAAATAAAACTCAAGTAGTATCATTTCAACTGTGATAAAGTTTCTAAACAGTTGTATTGCTATTATACATCTAAATTTAGGCTGTTTCAGTTTATTTTTATAGTTTTGACCTCCCAACTTCTTTTCAGTTATTAAATTAGTTAAGTATTAATCATTAACACTGGGTTTGTCTAAGGAGTCTACGGTTTGCTACTTACCTTCTTTGGTTAACACAGTCTACCTCTTTCCTTTCTTCGGAGTGGTGAAGTCTTTGTATAACGCGTCTCTTTCTTTTCTATCCTTTTGTTCCTCTTTTTCTGAGCTGCCTTTTAACTGATGCTGGTAGTATGTGTGTTTCTCTTTGTTCCTAATTCTCTTTAAGGCCTGTTTCTTTGGTGGAATGGCATAATCTATGTCATCATTTTTATGGTTTACTTTTACAATGAGTCAAATGAGGTGCAACAAAAATACAATAAATATAAAAATTTAAAGCAGCAGACAACATAGCTGTCAGTCAGATAAACATAAAGCAGATTTATTCATATGTCATATTGAGGATATTTAGATTTGAATTATTTTCCTTGTGGTCTGTCTCCCAGCTAGCTCAAAAAACAACTACGTACTTATGGTGAAGACTTCCCACAAAGCACTCCTATTTTGTGTTGGAGAACTTTCTTTGAACTGGCAGTTGGGAAGATGTGTGACTCTGCTGAGGTCTTAGGCAATGTAGAGTTGCTTTTGAGTAGATTGCCATTGCCGTATGGTACCTGACTTTTTTTCAAACTCTAAAATACGTCTAGAGAATTGCATTTGATTTTCTTATGTGAATGAAGAGTATGATTAGTGTTTATGATTTATTGATTTTAAAAATAGGTAGTGTGCATTGCTACAATAAGTACTTACCCTATTAAATAACTAATTACCCTATTAAAACATTTTGAATTCAGTTCTCTTCAAGACCGTGTAACTTGAAATAAAAGATTATAATTAAACACTTTGAATTTTTTTTCTTTACTTTGTGTTACATTTCTTGTTTATATATACCAGAGAAATAGGGGACCATTACTAAGGTGGTGATCAACACTAAGGCTTGTTTGTTTAAGACATTTTTTGAAAGATAATTTTCAGATGGCGCTTTGTTACAGATTGTGTTGGTAACATTTTTTTTTGGATGTGAAATTATAATTCAGGTATTTGTAGAAAGAAACCAAAAATAAAAGTATTCCTAAATTACCTAAATTTTAATGTTTTTACAAACCTATTTTTAAACCTTAATATTTCCCAAGGTTTCTAATTGAACCCCTTTATCTTCAAAACCATATAGAAAATAGAAACTAAGTTGAACATAGAACATTCGCATTGTTAGTCAGTATCACAACTAAGTTGATGTTGTGGTAACAGTAAAGGACACATTCAGTTGTGTAATTTGTGAATAACAAACTTCTAAAAGCTTTTTTTTTTTTTTTTTTGAAGATTGGCACCTGAGCTGACATCTGTTGCCAATCTTCTTTTTTTCTTCTTCTTCTTCTCCCCAAAGCCCCCGGGTACATAGTGGTATATTCTAGTTGTGAGTGCCTCTTGGTTGTGCTATATGGGAGGCCGCCTCAGCTTGGCTTGATGAGGTGGTGCCATGTCTGTGCCCAGGATTCAAACCTGCGAAACCCAGGGCCGCCAAAGTGGAGTGCGAGAACTTAACGACTTGGTCAGGGGCCAGCCCCTAAAAGCTATTTTGGGAGAGAAACAGGAAAACAGAAAGGAATGGATACTTTAGTTTTATTGTTGTTTTAATATTTTCCCTTTAGGGCTTCAACTTAGAATTCTATATTCTAATATGAAACACAATAAGGAAATAAATCTTTATATTGATTATAGAGGTTGACATTGGGACATAGCTGGCATTTTTTTAAAAGAATACATTCAACTCTATGCACAAAGTAGAAAAAGTAAAAAATAATGAGAATTTAAGATTTATTGTAGGAATTGAGTCTGATTCTGTTATATTAAATGAAATGTTGAATCTAAAAGAATCATTCAAACAATAATGTTACATGTAGTGTAGCACTGACAAAGATATTTAAAAGAAAAACTAAAAATCAAAGAAATAGTGGTCTCACCTTAGGACTTGCATTTGCAATGTCTCTAACTTCTGTCTCCATCTCTCCTAGGTGCATAAGAATGTGACTCTGCAGGTTCCAGTGGGACTGACTATACACACCTCTTTAGTATGCTCTGTGACTCTGCTCATTACCATCCTGTGTTCGGCTTTGATCCTTGGGGCTGTTTTGAGATATGGCCATCTTTCCCTATAGGTTTTATGCAGTTAAATGCTTTCCATAAACCTAAATAAGACGTAATTCATTTGTGACTAGAAGTATTCTTCTGGAATTAGGTCATTACTTTTGTCTTTTGTTTTCATTTATGGCTGAAATTGTGTTTACTAGACGGAATTTTGGCTCATTTTCAACTAATTCCAAACTTTTGTGCTCTATTGTGTAAACCTTTGATAATCCTCAAGCATCAAGTGCCAATAGAAGAAACTTAATTCTGTTAAATTAATATTTATTTTGTGAGAAGTGACTTTATCTTCATTTGATTTAGAAAACTGAGTACTTTATATATTACAAATTATTCTCATTTTGTGAATAGAAACATTTCTCTTTAAGCTAAAATTGAGAAAATCATTATAATAAGAATAAAATAATTTGGATAAATCAGAATTTATTTAAACATTAGTTTTATGAAAATATTAAAGTCATTTATCCAGAGTTTCAAGGAAAATCATTAAAACAGCTAATATAAAAATTGATTATTCCTTAAAATATTTCCATTCTCCTTTTATATTTTATAATACTGCTTTTGAATATATGAATTGGCACAGGGCTTAATGAAACTAAGTACTATGATTTAGTTCTGATTTAGTACTGAATTTGTGAGGAAGATAATTCAGATTGTTTTGAAGAGTATATTTTATTAAGTTGTACATTTACAAAAAATCTTTTTTGTATCTTCAGGTGACTTTTTTTTTTAAACAAAAGGTCATGATTTACTGTTTTTCTTTAGAAATTAGTAAATAAAGTAAGTGCCATAAGCTAATTAAAAATATTAAAGGGCAAGCACACTCTTCTATTTATTCAGGACAAGCATGTTCCAAAACAGAACCCAATAAACCAGGGTATGTTGGCATTGTTTGTTTTATATAGAGTTATGGGATATGATATATGTGTATGTATGCTATCGCTGCTTAATGTCCTAAAACAGTCTGATGTTTTTACGGGAATAAATCTTTTATAATTTGACATGTATGGCTTGACTAGTCATAACAGTTCTTTTTGATGGTGTGTTTGAGAACTTATATATTGAAAAAGGCAACCCAATGCCATAAAGCAGAAATATTAGAGATCTTTAAAATAACTAAAATTTCAACCCAGTCTAGTTCCATACCTGTTTAGTGTTTTCTTATAAGAAAGAATTCCGTGTTTTACAAGCATTTCCTTCACAATGGGATTAATATAATGGCGCTGAAATAGAATTGTATGTCAGTTAAAATTCAGTAACATCAACAGACCATTTTGGAATATGGTTAGACAGGTGGGGGAACATGGTTCTATTTAACCTCTCAAGAGTATGTATGGGGGTGGATGTGTGTGTGTGTGTATATATATATATATATATATAGTGTGTGTATATATATCTATTTTCTTTCTTTCTTTTTTTTTTGAGGAAGATTAGCGCTGAGCTAACATCTGTTGCCAGTTCTCCTTTTGCTGAGGAAGACTGGCCCTGAGCTAACATCCGTGCCCGTCTTCCTCTACTTTTTATGTGGGATGCCCATCACAGCATGGCTTGCCAAGTGGTGCCATATCCACACCCGGGATCTGAACCGGTGAACCCCGGGCCGCCGAAGTGGAATGTGTGCACTTAACTGCTGCACCACCAGGCTGGCCCTATATCTATTTTCTATTGCACATCAGAAGGAAGTTTCATCAATATTTAAATTAGTTTTCAAATTCATATTTGAGATTGTGGCTTGGAACATGATTCAGCCATTTACTCATTTATACAGGTTTTTAGAAGTGTAATAAAAATGTGAATGTGAGTGAAGAATACTTTAATATGACTTTTCTTGCCTGAGAAATGGTTGCAGATGACATCAGTTTTATAACAGACCACTGCTGGTTTTGAACTGTTTATATTATCTTCTTTGGATTCTTAAAAAATGAACAAGTGCTTTATTTTTAAAATCAATTTTATAATTCTGTATACAGTCTTTTTTGTTTAATGCCAAGAAAATGGGTACTGGTCTCTTAGTAAGTTCCAGTATTTGTTCCACTTTTATGGTTTATTTTTCTTAAAGTATTGTGTTATGTTCTTTTGGATAAAAATAACAGCCACAGGTTACCTCAGCTGAGGGTGGTGGTAGGACAGACTATTGTGTGGGCATCTCAGCCACTCTGCCGGGAACTTAGATTATTTAACTAGACCTCATGGAGGATGGCATATACATGATGCGGGGGCGGGAAAGATCTATTGTGGCTCTAATGATTTCAGAATTTAATGAGTTTAAGGATTACTCTAGTCAGATATTGTATTCATTTCAAGCTACTCATTTATATTTTGATAATTAATGCTAATTGATATAATATGGAGATAAAGAAGTTAAGGTGAGGTGACCAACACCTATCTGTATTATCCCCCAAACTTACAAAATATGCTTCTACAGGTAGTTGAAAGTAGGGTTTGGTAGACTGTGGGAGAATGAAATAATATGGACTAAGTATGCCCTTCAGGATTGTCCTAGTCAGTCAAAGGATGGTGGGTTAAGCTATGTGATTTCTTGCATCTTAGACCTTACTACTGGATCACTTTCTTCCTGGAGTGTATCTTTTTAAGGAGTTCCTTTAGTAGATCTCGGTTTTTGTTTGATGATACCTTTATTTCAGCCACACTCATATGACTGATAATTTAGCTAAGTGTACACTTCTAAATTTGGTTATTTTCTCTTGTTACTTTGAAAATATTTTTCCATTTTCAGCTGGCACCCATTGTTGCAGTTGAGAAATCTGCAGTAATTTTAATAGTTGTTTTTTTGTAGGGCATGTCTTTTCTTTCTGGTTGCTTTATCTTTGGAATTCTGCATTTTCACTTTGATGTACTTGAGAAGATTTCCTTTACTTTTCCAGGTTGGGATTCACTTTGCTTCCTGAATCTGAAGGTTCTTGTCTTTAATCAGTTCCGGAAAATGTTTAGTCATTATCTCATCATATCCTGCTGCTTCTGCTTTCTCTCCTCTCTCTCCTCGAGCTCTCATTAGGCATATGGTAGACCTTTGCAATCTATCCTCGTGTTTTTAAATCTTTCTTTCATATATGCTACGTCTCTGGGCTGCTCTCAGTAATTTTTCTAGATCTGTCTTCCAGTTTACTAATTCTGTCTTCAACTGTGTGTCACCTGCTATTTAACCCAAACACTGGCTTTGGTTTCACTTATTATATTCTTTATTTCTAGAAGTTCTACTTGGCTCCTTTTCAAAGTTACTTGGTCATTTTTTGAAAATAGTATCTTGTTTCTTGCTCCTGTCGTATTTTAATCATTTTAATAAACTTATTTTTTATTCTGTAGCCAATACTTCCAATATCTAAAGTTCATAGGCTTCATTATTCTGTTCCTGGTTTCTGTGGATTCACTCATGGTGGCTATTTTCTCAGGTGTATTGTAATTATATTTTGGTGCTTATGTTTAGCTTTTAAAATTCTGTTTATCTGTGGAAATCCTTTCAGAGCTGGCTTGAGAGTGAACCCGTGCAGTGAGGATTTGTATTGTTTTTCTTCTAGGCCTCCAAGCACTACCAGCGTGGGACACCTTTCTTGACTTGAAGTTTCCTGGACAGTGTACGTTCTATAAATTTGAACTTTCAAACCCATGGGAGGGAAAGTTTGTGGTTATGAATTCTAAAGGGAAATTTTTTCCCCCCTCTATGCCAAGTCTAGGCTAAAACATACAATTTGTCTCCCTGGGCTGATCCAGGGGATTTCGGGTTTTTTCTTTTAGTCTCTTCTTGGAGGGTATAAGCCCTCTGAGTTACCAACCTTATGCAGGATCACAGTCCCAACTCCTTGGACAGGCCCAAGGCCTTGTCTTTGGTCTCTTGTCTCTTGTGCAGCCAGTAAAAGCATAGAGATTGCTGAGATAAGTAAATACGCTCAACATAACCGTGGCTTCACTGCCCTGCTTACCACTTTCGTTTCTTGTTCCATTTTTGGGTTGAGGGTAGAGTTTGGAAAACTGTCAGAGGTATTCCTCTTTCTTGAAAGTTTAGTTACGCCTTTGAAAGGATGTTCTATTTAATTCAGCATTTCTGTGTGTCTAATAATGGGACTATTTTTTAGGTTATTTAATAGTGTGACATAGCCTTGATTTCTTTCTCTCTTATACTCTCCATATCAGTTGAGTTTTTTGTTCTACATCTATAGATAAAGACAATCTGGCTACCTTTGTCCATTTCCACCAGTATCTCCCTAGTGTCAGTTGTGATTGCTGCCTCTTAGTTCATTTCCCTTATATTCTTGCATCTCTCTATTCTCCACATGGCAATCTAGTGATCTTGAAGTCTAAACCAGATAACATCACTTCCTTGCTTAAAACTCTTTAATAGCTTCTTGGGATAAAGTCCAAATTCCTTACCATGGCATTCAAGATCCTTTCTGACCTGAATCTTGTCTACTCTTAGTGTTTTCTCATATATGCTGTCCTTTTTGCACTAAGCTCCAGCTACCCAGGCCTTCATAACTGACCATAGCAAGGCCTTTTTTCTTCCTCCTGCGTGTAATGCTTTCTCCTGGGTGCTTCTCATGGCTCTCTCTTTTTCTTCTCAGCTTAGATGTCACCTTCTTAAAGATGCTTTTTCTGCCCACCTTATCCAAAGTAATCTCCGCAGTTTTTTCCTCATACTACGTATCACTATTTTAATTATTGCATTTTCATATTTGTAAGCTCCACAAAGGCAAAGTAACTCATGTTCACTCCCTGGGTCCCTGATGACCTGACACATAGTATCTGATATGTATTAAGACACTCAGATGTTTGTAGAATTAATGAATACATTGATGAACCCCTCCATGGATAAAACATGGAGGCCTTAATTTGCAAGGAGGTGGGACTTAATTCAGCGGGAAAATATAGAGTTTGTAGGTAAAAAGCAAAATGGATAATGTATGAATTCCTAGAAACAAATGTCCTGGCGCAGATTCATATAGCCGCAGTCGTCTACCAGCATCTTTGGTTGGCACAGACCTGACTGGAGACAATGCCGAATTAAATGAGGAACTGGCTGTCTCTCTCAATATAAAGACAAAAAAAAGAACCCTACACAAAACAGGACAGGCCCCGCACGTCTTCAAACTACAACTCTCAGCAGCCCCCGCGCGAGCCCGCCCCCTGGGAGGCGGTGCCGGTCTCCGCCCGGCGCAGCTCCGGGCTTCGGGCCGGGAGGGCGGGGTCCTGGCCCCGCCCCGCCCCGCCCCTCCCCGCTCCCCGCCGTCGCCCTCCCCCAGGGTTGTGGCCACGCGCGGCGGCGGTGGAGGTTCCGCTTCCCCTCCAGCCCGGGCCGTCGCCATTGCCGAAGGCTCCCTGCCCTCCCCTCCCGGCGCCCGCGGGCTCTGCTGCCTCTCGGCCTAGCGGTTGCAGCGGCTGCGCTCCAGCGCCGCTCCTCTTCCCGCCCCGCTTCCCCTTCCCTCCCGTCCCCGCCCCGCGCCGCGCGCTTGCCCGGGGCGGCTCCAGAGCCCGCCGGGAGCTCGGACGGAGGCGCCTCGCTGGGGCGGGGACCTTCCCTCGCCTGGGGTAAGTGTGCAGACGGGCCGGGACGCGGCCGTCGCTCTCCCTTCCTCCTTCCTTCTCCGCGGCCTGGCCGGCGCGCGCGGCCCGGGCAGCCGAGCGCCCCGCGCAGGGCCGGGGAAGCGGCCACCTGCGTGCCTGGAGCCGCGCTCCTGGGGCGGTGGCTCATTGTCTGCTCCCTAGGGCTGTTTTCTTCTCCCGCTGGAGCCCGACACGGGGAGCTTGCTGGGCTGCTGAGCTCTGACTCTTCCTGAACTCAGCCCTGCCTGAACCGTGTCGCGCCACAGGCTCTGCCTCTCTCGGTCTCCCTCGCGTTTCAACCTCCTCCTCTCCTCCGCTTACTTTAGCGTTCGACCAAACGTCTCGGGGTTTCTTCCTCGATTTTTCCTCTCTTTCTGCATCCCGGCCCCTCTTTGCTACCCCTCAGTTCATCCCAGTTTCATTGCTCGGGAATATTGTCTCGCGTCCCTTT